CTCGGGACTGAGCTAAGTAGTGCATTTAAAAAGGGTGTGCATTTATATAGGGTGCATTTATAGAGAGTTGACTGTATCATTATTCATATACGAGTAATCCTATATATAATTTTTATCATTTTTTGTTGCAAACCTTTTGCATATGTTTATTAAAACTTAAAAGCCATTTCATTTAGATTTTTCAATGTTAAAGCTATAAAACAATACGGTAAACATAAGTATGCAACCAGTAAAACAATATCTATTATTTATTTGACTATTCATTGCTTATTTGATCCCAGAAGGATGCATCATTCCATTCTGTAGCATAACTTCCTATTGCACAGCGTCGAACAGCAGCATTTTCATTGGATCCTTTCCTTCCGTTCATGCGTGCAGGATCTGGCCATGAGACAAGTAGAAGTTGTAGAACTTCAATCAGAGATTTGCTTGCATGACCTGTATTACGAAGACATGGATAGATGTTATCATTCAATCCGAAGGCTGCCAATCCAATTTGATACATGTTTAATGACTCGAGTTCATCCTCTGTGTACACTTTTGTGGACACGCTATTGCTATCCTGTCGATACTGTTGCTCATGCAGCGGCAATGCTTCTATCACAGGATTCCTCTTTCCTTTACTTACAAACTGCATATAAACTGATGCATATGGGAAACATGCATGTTCGTCCATTATGCCACAAACTGTGGGATTAATCGTCTCACGTGCAATGCGGCTGAAAGAATCAATTGAATCTTGATAGTTTTTGACTTGTATGAGAATAAATGACACACATGAAGGATGCAACCTAAAATTCTTGAACTCATTTTTGGAGGTCGTCTCATAAACAAACAGAATTATGTCAATCAAATTGCTGGTATTAAAAACCTTAACTGAAAAGAACTAGCAAAGCATCTGACTATACTCACAGAGTCTAACCTTCGCTTCTTGCTTCTATCACCATGATTATCATAAGCAGTAATGAGATTAGTTTCTTCGTTGTCTTCCGGAAATTCTGGGGTAAAATTCGAAGGAAAATCTTCTTCGCATGTGAAGTCATCTGCATGTAAGTCAGTATAATTGGTATCAACGTCAGCTGGTAGCAAAACTGGTATGATTATATCCACTCCTTGGTTATTACGTTCACAGATTATCGCTGCACCACGAGTCAGCGCATGAAGAAGGTGCTGACGCCTTGGCTTGTAGTAAACAGGAATGAAGTGCGTGAAGAAGATCAGCCCCCGCTTGAATAACTCCCGCTGGTCAGTAGAGCTGCATACAGGTTTTGAGAGTGCATCGGCGCCGAAGAGGTGATCAAAGAATAGTTCCACGGTGACTGGACATGTGTGTGAAAGCTCTTGCTTCCACAATGATTGCTTGATGGCTTGATCCACAGCCAAAATTAACAATAAACGAGCAACAAGTTCTCCCCGAGAGCCACCGTCTACAACGCCACATCTCATTGCGTCTGACAGTTGCTTGATCAATTTCACCAGACAACCATTTTGATACATAAGGTCAGTTGCCACGTCGACAAGAAACGGTTCCGAAGGTGCAATAGTGAACAGATACTGACGCGATTCGCTGACGAACACGCAAAACCGCATGTAGCTTGCTACCAGTTGTGACGCGATATGGTTTGTTGGGACTATATCAACACACACGCGGCAAGAAAGCACGCTCAGTGCATCAGTCATCTGAACAACACGAGGAAACTCGCCTCCAGCAAGCTTAGCGGCAGCAGTATTCTTAAGCGTAATGAGATGTGTTGAGAAAAAAGATAAATCGCCGGCCTGGATGTACGAACGAAACAATGGGCGGCCCAGTTGTAGTAATCGCTGCCCACAATACATTTCTTCGATGGATCTGGGAGGAATTGCGACGGTTATAGTATCATCAATTGTATCAAGAAGATAGAATGGTGGCATCAACTTCAATCCTTCGATCAAAGGACGACTGGAAGGATCGCGTTCCATTTCAGGCAAAAAGTCAGCTACAGCTGACGTCGTATCAAGCATTATTGCGAATGCTTGGTGTTGACTTGGGTGGTATGTTGGAAGGCACCGCAAGGCGCGACGCAACGATGAAAAATAGTCAGCGTTTGACCTTGATGGCAGAAGAGAACGTGCCTCGTCGAACGCAAAGATCAAATGTGTGATAAATCTTTTGTCAAAACACCCAACATTCTTCAGAGCCTTGGCGATCGCACCTTTTTGATGTATTTCACTGAAATCTGCTCTCTTTTCATAACCGAGACAATCCATACGCTCTTCGACCTCTTTCCAGTAACTGCAGGATTCATTGGTATGGTAATTGAACCATGTACCACAGTCCATACGATTGTTGGACATTGTCTTTTGAAATACTTCGATGGCAGCAACCAAGAAAGAGACGTAGAGTCTTTCACTTGGCCATTTTCGAGGATCTGTTGCTTGAGCATCTGTGATAAGCTTACGCCGAATGGGCGAACTTGGGGGGTAACCTGTGCTACCAGGACCTCGGAGACAGCAGTAAATGACATATCGTTTCTTAGCGACTTCCGCAAGTAGTCTTGATTTACCAGTGCCGCTTGACTGCACTATTGATGAGTACAAGGCATAATACTTTGCCGGATTCCACATTTTAACGCACTTATTACAGAAGCTCACGAAACGATCCACGCGTTTCCCCTTTGGGTCATCGTACGGTACCCGAAACGCCTGCGCAAACTGTTCCTCCTCATCCTTGCTGTGTTGGATTCGAACCTTTTTTTCGATTGGTGCATCGTCTACTGAAGCAATTCCGAGTGGGATATATATCATCATACATTTCCACGACGGGATGAATATAAAGTAAAAGAGACAAAAACGATGCGAAAAGTGCGAATTAGTGGACATCACAAGCAATAGTAGTATAGTTCCATAGCCACTCTATATCCACTGTTACTCCTACTCTACTTAACCCAAACGTATAGTATCCCGCTTATTTGCCTTTCAAACGAATTTACGTATAACCTAACCTTTGCTACGACTCTGCTCTATGTCCCAACCCCAACGCATGTCGTAATGCATTTCAACTATCCTCCCAATAAACGTGTATTCATTGCTTGCTTACCTTGCTTGCCAAGTGTTTCTAGATATTCCGCGTAGCAGTCTGTCGTCGCTCCGGGGTTATTTTGATGGTATTTGACATAAAACTCTTTGTATTCTTCGTATTTCGCTTTTGCTTCCTTACCAGTTGCGTTCGAATGGTCTTGACCGTATTTAACACTGAAATCCACTATATCCAGTGAGAAGTCCATTGCGTCCATGAGTTGTTTGTAAAAGAAAGAGTCGCGATCTGCGCCGCCCAACTCAGCCCTGTTTATACGTTTTACTTACACAAACATGTGATACTCCTTCGTATTGAAGCGCCGAATCAACTACAGGTGCCAGGTCCAGCACATTTAGCAAAATAGATCGGGAACCCTCCATGCTTTTGTCAGAGACAAAGGGTAAATGAAGACAAAGTGAAAATCTCTTTTATACGCTTCTTTGCATATCACGTTATGGAACAATGTTTCCAATTGTATTATTGTATTCGTATCAAAGAATTTTTTAAAATCTTTCCATAGAGTTTCAACGTCTTCTGCGTATTTTCGTTCGCTGGGCAGCTTGCTGGATTTAGATTTGATTTTGATTTTGTTCAATTCGACTGCTTGAATTGCTATTTCAAGCTTTTGATTTATATTGCAGAGTTGAATGTATGTTTTATAATGGAGCAAATGACCAACGACAAGTCCTATCAACAGCCCACAAACGAATTCAATAGTGGAAAGAAACATTTTTGATTACCGGTTATTTGCTTTTTTATAAAATAACTTGTTTCGGTATTGACGTTGGAAAGATTTGTAGTTTTTTTTAAAGCAAAATTGAATCCGTTTTTATAATAAATTCTCGGTTTCATCAAAATTGCGAATTAATTATTATTATTTAACGTATATTTAATATTTTGCGTCGATTTGATTTATCAAAATCGGGACGTAATCGGCAAATTTGGGAGGTATCAGTATAATTTTGGTTAGTCTCCTGCTGCCAAAAGCGGGGCCATTCTTCCTATAACTTAAATACAAGTCTAAGTATAAACATTAAATCATTACCCATACCAAATGACGTGCATATTCAAGACACTGGATCATGCGTTAACAAATATCGTGTACATATTAATTATTAAATCGGTTATTTTCCGAATAGTTGAAATATTCTAACGAATATATAAAACAATTTCATCCAACATTTATAGCCTATTTTTCTTTATCTATATAATAATA